CACGGAGCAGCTGAATCGCCATTGCCCAGACTCCAACCAGAGCCCAAGCCCAAGCCCAAGCACAGGCAGAGGCCGAGGCGCAGGCCCTGGCTCAGGTTCAGGCTCTGGTCGTGGTCCCAATGCGTTGGCAGTAAAAAGTTTTGTTGGACCCAGTTCGGTTCGGTTCTGTTCGGTTCGGTATGGTCGCCTTGCGGCATATGTGTTTTTGGCTGCGTTTTTAAAAATTAATGGCATGCGAACATTTTCTAAATTTCCATAAATTTGCACGTGGACTTTTGTGTGCAAAAGTTCTTTACTATGCCAACTTATAATCTAATTGCGCCCTCACCTGTGTGTGCAAGTGTGTGTGCTAGTATGCGTGCGTGCATGTGTGTGTGTGTGTGTGTGTGTGTGTGTGTGTGTTGGGTCCATGAAAGTTTTGGCTAAGCGGGCAGCGTACGTTGAAATTAGTTGCAAAAGAACTTTTGCGTTTGCCTCTCGTTGGAGTGTCTCAAATTTAATTTACGAATGACAAAGGTTCGTTCATTAGGTCTCTACATAGCATATGCTATTTTAATTAGAGCAAGACAGCCAGCCAGACAAAGAGCGAGAGAGAGAGAGAGAGAGGGGAAGTGAGATAGAGCGAAACAGTGTTGCAATCGAGTGCAATTAAGCGTAGTTTATTATAAGTTGAGGAATTAGCCGAGCTGATATATAAGTTGTATAAATATAAATCAAATCTGCATATAAACAAATATGAATTGTTACATTCACATACAAAGAGCGAACAAAGAATCTGGTTTATATGTATTTAAGCACATTAAATCTCATCAGAGCAGCAGGCAGGCAGGCTTCTAGCTTCAGGCATAATCAATACTATAGCAACTATAGGCTCAGCATGAGAAAGCGAAAGCCTTGCTGGTCAAACATATGACACGAAATACACACAAGAATAGATATACAAGCTGAGCTGGACTCGTGTATGGGTGCCACGTGCTGGCATGTAACCGAATCTGCAATCCAACTCAATTCATTTGGCTTGAGGCACAATCTTCTCTCATGTTTCAATAATATAGGGAAACTGACGAGGCTCATGGCATAAACAGCTAATAAAGGCAACAGACCGTTATTAAACCTGAGCTCATCACGCGGTCGGCTAAAGCAACTCAACGGTTTTGACAGAAACTAAATAAATGAATAAGTTAAATGCAGTTTAAGTGCAATTTAAATGCAATTCAAATGCAATTTCACAATTTCACAATTTAAATGCAATTCAAATGCAATTTCACATTCAAATTGAATAGAAATTCTTACTTTGACTTCAGCTGATTTGATAAAGAGTGTCAAGCTAATGCTAAGCTGGCTCAAATCACAGAAATCATGTTAACAATGCTGGCATTAATCAATATCGCATCGAACTGGTGGGGGCAATTGGCTTAATAAATAAATCAAATAAATGTTACTTGAACTTAATTGAATTATTACACATTTGTCTACATTTTGCCTTGGCTAATTGCTGCAATAATGTCGCACGTGTTTTCTTGGATGCCTACGGGACATACCTTTGCTTACATCTACGACACGCACACACACGCACACACATACATGCAGAGATAGCTACATATTTGAGTCAGTGAAACATAGTGGATGCCATTATAGAACAAAAGAGAGACACAAACACACACACACATAGACACACACACGTACAGCCACCCACCCAGAGAGCTTGAAGTTAGGGGCCGACTCGCTGGACTCTCACAAGTACCGACAATTATGACAAACATTTCTTCATGGGGGTGCAGAGGCGCCGCCGGACGACCTTTTGCCACAGCAGCAGCAACAACAAAAGCAACAGCAAAAGCAACAACAACAGCCATAACTAACAAGCTTATATGAATCGCAAGCAAACATACACAAGCATACACTGAGAGAACAAAATGCCGAGCGTATATTATACGCTAATCGAGTCGAGATTGAAATTCCCCGAGCTATGCCTGAAATTCCCAGTTCAAGACTTTTTGGGTAGCACAAAATTCCAAAGTTAGCTCTTAGCTCTTTTGAAACTTGTAAGTTTTGGCCTATTTTCCTTTCCTTTAAATTAATCATGTAAACACATATTTCTTTTCAGCATGGATTTCTTTCCTGAAGCCCAAATCTGCTGTCTTTTGTATGAAGTCAGTAGTTTTTAATTTTTTTTTTTAATTTTGAGAAAATGCTAATATGAATAATATATTAATTAATTTATAAATTATTAATATTAAGATTTTAAAAATATATAAATTATTAATAAATATATTAAAATTACAAATTATAAATAATTTAAATAATGTAACATTTAAAAAAATATTCATCAGCAAAACTAAATTGAAAGAATAATTTAAGCTACTTACAATTAAAAAAAAAAAAATCAAGATTGAATGGCTTCATTAAAAAATTATATAATTGTAATAAAAATCTTAGTGAAAAATATGCATGAAAATAATATATTAAGCATAATTTTCTTTAAATTCAAAAATAGTTTAGTAACAAAATCGTCAGAATAATTGACTTAGTAAAAGAAAATTACGTTAAATGAAATCAAGCTATTGCATACAGTCCTTTCACATCTTTCCATTAAACTCTTTTCAATTTCTTTGTTTTCAAGCTTTAAATTAAATTAAAGAATATGTCTCACCCATTTAAACATCTCCCCAACAATTACTCATTAAATAGAAAAATCAGAATATTGCATTACTTCCCACGTCTCACAAGACTTTTTCTCTAAGTGGAAGTGGCGAGTATTTTTTTATATATTTTTTATATATTTTTGTACTTTGAGTTTTCTAAGGCTCCTTGGCACACATCATCATTGTCACAGCTCATGGCGCGTAATTAACTAAACAAACGTCATTAGGCATGCGCATGTATATGTGTGTGTGTCTGCGTGTGTGTGTGTGTGAGTGCGTGTGAGCCTTGGGCAAGATAGCAACAACAACAACAGCAGCAGCAGCCTTGTCGCTGTCGCTGCCGTTGCCATGGCCCATTATAGAAGTGGGCGGCTATTGGGCGGGGCATATCTGCAAGCGTGGAATAGAAGACAGCCAAACTAAGCACAGGAAATGAAAATCGCTGTCATCAAATGTAGCGCAATTTCTTGAGTGATTACAACAACAGAAGCGAGAAGAAGAAGAAGAAGCAACAGCAGCAACAGGAGTGCCCACACTTTCAAAGTGATTACACGACAGTCGGAATAACAATGCAACGAGACACAGGCACACAGACACACTCACACTTTGACAACACTAAAAAAAAAAAAAAGAAGCAAAATCAAACAAAAATAAATTCATTTCGGTTCAATTTGAAAATGCTAAACCATCTCATACTGGCACACTCTATCTCCCTCTTACACTCACCCTCTCTCTCTATCTGTCTCGATTCCCGCCCCAAGCTGAACTTAGTTCTGTGACAGTGTCACAGCTCCTCCGAGCTGACTCCTTGGAGCAATAAACTGCGCTAAATTCAGCTCATTGTTGTTGCTGTTGCTCCAGTTGCTGTTGCTGTTGCTGTTGCTTTGCAAATTGCTGACAATAAATGTTGGCAGCGACAACCAGCTACCAGCCACGCCCACCCATTAAGGGGGCGAGCGAGAGAGAGAGAGAGCGCACCCGCATGCGAGTCGGCGTGACAATTTAAATATGCAAGTGCAAAATGCTATAGGTGCAATGAGCAGGAAACAAACAGAGACGCAACGAGAACTCTACGCTAGGAATTGTATTTATTACAGAAATTAATTGATGCCGTAAACCAGAGAGCAAGCCAAAGAGGGAGACATTGACAGAGAGAGATGCAGAGCCAACATGAAAAAAGCGAAATAGAGAATCCCAGTTAGCATCAGACCACAAATGGATGTTGCAGTTGCCAATGCGATTCCAGCTGAATCGATTACCAACTGAATTTTCAGTTTGAAATGAACAAAAACTATGCGAACTCCTGATAAATGTAAAAAAACAAGAGACGTACTCGGGCATAAATATGACGGTAAATTATTTGAAAACCAACAAACACAAAAAATTAATTAATCGATTTTTGGGATTGGAGTCGAAATGCAAAAATATATAAAAATATACAAATATTTATGAAAATATATAAAAGAAAATGTTTCATTCAGGATGATAAAAAGAAATTGCCCTGACTCTAATATATAAAAGTACATATAATATATATAAGTAGTTTATATATGTTACAAAAAATTACAGCAATAATTTAGTGTATTTTAATGCAATTAATGTATACAAAAATAATAATAATAATAATAATAATAATAATAATAATAATAATAATAATAATAATAATAATAATAATAATAATAATAATAATAATAAAAATTAAAAAAAAATAATAATAATAATAATTGTTTAATAAATTTAACATGCTATTGACAGATATGTAAACTTCTTATTTAATGTATTTTAATGCAAAAATGTATTAAAAAAATAAATAATAATAATAATAATTTTCTAAATAATTTAACTTGCCATTAAAATCTGTCAATCTGAATTTTAATGCAATGATGTATTAAAAAAAAAAAAAAAAAAAAATAGATAAATAAATAATAAAAATAATAATTGTCTAATTAATTTAACTTGCTATTGACAGATTTGTAAACTTCTTATTTAGAGTATTTTAATGCATAATAATAATATTTAATGTATAATAATAATAATAATAAAATAATATAATAATTAAATATTTAAATAATAATAATAATAATAATTAATATAGCTTGCTATTTATATTTTTGCTGTTTTTATTAACAGCACAAAATATCCTCTTTTCACTACTTGGTCCATTTTTGAAAATGGGAGATTTTGCTTTCATCTTCAAATGTTAACAGTTTGGTTTTGTATAAATATATGAAATGTGAATGAAACAAGTATAGATTAATTTTTGAGTATTTATCAAAACTTCTTCACCTCAATTCCTGCTAGCTTAATGAAAACTTACAACTAATACATATATCTATATGATTTTTCTCTACTTACATATGACAGTGAGCTTGGCATTCGCCCGTATTGCCGAGTTGAGGCGCGCTGGACCCACTTGGCATTGATATTCGGCATCATCGTTGATCGAGGCATTGGAGATGCGCAGATTGTAGACACCCTGTTTGCGATCCCCCAGCACAGAGTAGCGCGGAAAGCCGGGTATTACGGCCGAGAAGCCGAGTGCAAAGCCATCCTTGGTCCATTGCACGGCGCCGGCGACATTGGCCACCTCGCAGCGCATCATCGCCTCGGCGCCCTCCAGCACCTGCAGATCGTGGGGCGTGGTGCGAAACTTCTGCTGCTGCCCGTGGCAGCTCGCGGGCAACAGCAGCAGCACCAGCAGCACTGTAATAGAAAACAAGTAAAGAAGAAGATCACTTAGAGAGATGCTGGATTAATTGTCATGGCGGTTTTGTTATGCTTGGCTCGAGTCTTTGGCGACTCATTGGTTACGTGACTTTCTATGGCAGCTGAAAATTATGAATTGTGTATTTAGCCAGTCGGGCAAACAGAAAAACTGAAAAAAAAACAATGAATGCTGCCCGCAGTCCCATGGAGAGACAATGGGGCAATGAGCACAGAGACTTTTCCTAAATAGCAAATCCTGACCGCAATAACACAGGACGTGGGACACAGGACGCAGAACGCAGGACACTGGCCGCACTGTCACTGAAAGCCTTTACGGCCGCCAACGCCGCTAAGCTGCCGCAGAGTGCTGCAGTCAGAATCGGAATTGGAGCTGGAGTCGGAGCTGGAACTGGAGCAGGAGTCCGAGGCGAACTTTGACCGCTCTGAATGAAAAGTTTTTTAATGAAAAACAAACACACACAGATTTTTACCAGCCACAGCGCAGCGCACAAAAGCCAATTGTAGGCGTGGCCGGGCAGAAGGAGGCGCGTGGGGAGGCTGTCCGTTCAGTACCGGTGACTGTTTGCCAAGACTTATTGCGGACTGCATTCAGAGTCGCCAGCCAGGCAGCCAGGCAGCGAGCAGTTTATTTCTTGCCAGCCAAAACTATTAAATTGTGTAAAGGGGAGGAGGTGGAGCAGGAGCAGGAGCTGAAGCAGGAGCAGCCCTGAATCAACAAAAGCATTTAACGCGGCCATCAGGCAGCTACAGTTGTTTTAGTGCCCGGCGGAGGCCGTGCCGCAGCGCTCAGTGCACTTTAACCGTGGAGCGAAGCTTTCATAAATTTCAAACGAATCTGCGAGTAGGAGAGGCGAAGCAACAACAGGAATGCGCGCATATGGCCAGCAAAAAAGAATCAGAGAGATAGAGAGGGAGAGTGACAGAAAGAGAGAGAGAGGCAGAAGCTGTTTATTTATTAGCGCCGAAATGCAGTTTTAAATACCACGAGTCAAGCGAGACTGAAATGCTAAGTGAAAAAAAGAGAGACTGAATATAAAGCAAAATGCTTTATTTGCGGTGCTAAAAGGCATTAAGTAGAGCTTGGCAGGGTAAGGCTACTCCGACTATAGTCGTACTATAGCTCAAATAGAGTAGCGCTTGAGCAAAGTCTACCTGCAAACACCTCGCCAGGCTCGCTTACACAACATAGACAGAGCTTGTCGACCGCAAAAGGAGCAGACATAAGAAAAGGGCCCAAGACAATGATTAATATGCTCACTATTTGCATAGACACGAAGTCTGCGCAGGAAACTGAAATGAATTTTAAATATAATATATTATATATATGTATAAATATATTTATATATTTTCATGTCGAGATTATATATGCCTAGGCGCTGTCTGGCATCCGCTCTATGTGTGTGTGTGTGTGGCAACTCTTTACGATTTCATTATTTTGCTTTTTCGTACATAATTTGCGTTGTCGAGCCGAAAAGAATGCGATACGAAAAGTTGCTCCTGCTGCTGCTCCTCCTCCTGCTGTTGCTGCTGCATTGTTGTTGTCAATGTTGTCGCGCAATTTAGCATAGAAATTGTTGTTGTAGTTTTTGTTGTTGTTGCTCTGAGCAGCAGCAAGCAGCCAGCATTACTGTCAATTTATATAAATTTTCAACCCGAGCTCGCCTCCTGCCCAACCCGACTTTATCTGAATGAAACTGTCAAACGCAGTCGAGCCTTGTCCCTCGCCCGCTCTCCCTCGCTCGTACCCTTTCTTTTGCTTGTCCGCTTGGCCTCTGCGTGTGCCTGTCCCCTTCTCCTGCTTCTCTCCTGGCTCACATACGAGCCCTGAACCCGAGTCCGCGCGGGCGAAAACCCTTGCCAGCAGCAGGCGCAGTCATAACCTTTGCCCCATCAACGCACGCTCTCTACGCAAATTTGAGCCTATTTTACAGACATCACACATACACACACACACACATACACTCTCTAAAGCACACACACACATTGGTTTTAGCGAGAGTTCATAGTTGAGTACATTTTTACCTCGTTCATGATGCGGCGCATCATTGGCGAACTTGAGCTCTGGCACATGTGTGTGTGTGCGAGTATGTGTGCGTCTGTGCGTCTGTGTGTGTGTGTGGGTGTGGGGTGTGCGTGTGTATTTGGATTTTCAACAAATTTGCGTAGCTTGTTGTTTTGTGCTCATTGCCATTGTTGTTGTCCCATATTTTTGAAGCGAAAAATTTTAATAAAGTAAATTCCTATTTTACGGCCTGCGAGAGGAAATGGGTTTCCTCTGCCACGCTCCCACTCCCATACTCTCCCTCTCCTTGTTTTTTTTTTTTTAGCTATGAAACGATGGGTATATTAGACACGCTTCATCCTTGGCACATTGAATGGCAAAAGCGCCATGAAACACACAAATTGAAGCATGACAAGCGCGCGCCCACACACACACACTCACACGCACGCACATAGTCACTTCATATGTCATATACGTGTCACACGTATTGCGGCCGGAAATAGTTGATGGAAAAACACGCAACAAGCGGAGACAGCCAAAGTGCGAAAAGGATTTAAATGCTTTAGGCGTCGCCTTTTGACCGCGCTCGACTCACTGCACTGGTGGGCGGGGCCAAGCAGAGAACGGGGCGGGGCTTTCTGTCGCTGTCCCAAGCGCCAAGCGATTTCACATTGTGCACTCTGAGAAAACCGAGTTTACAGAGGACAAATCAAAAGCAGTGAGCGATATCAATTTGATTAAGCCAAAAAATAACTAAAAACTATTTTACACAAATTTACAAACCAATCAAATATGCTATAAAATATTAAAAAATAAATTATAGTAAGTACTTTTTAATAACAAATTTCTTCAACTAAGTTTGCCCCTAACGTTACATAAAACGAATATGTCAAAAATGAGTGAAGTTAAGAGCCTGTTACAAAATTGAAATATTTCATTAAAAGAGAGAAACAAAAAAAAAATTGTTTTAAATTGGGTAATAAAAACTGAAACTTTTATAAGAATTTGAATACAAATAAAACTTTTTTTCGGGCAGCAACATGCAAAAATTCGTGTCTTAAAGCAAAAGTTTCTTTGATGCTGCCATAATTGGGCAATCTTTTTGATGTCATTTGATTGAATAATTTTTTGTTTAATTTGTGAATTTATTACAATCTGCAAATAAATTTTTCGAAATTGCAAGTGTACCTCAAAAGTAATAAACGCTTGAGTTATTAAAAAATACAAATTATTTTATCATTTGATAGCTTTTGAGTAAACTATATTTTGGAAGCAGACCAAGAGATTTTCTTTTGATGAATTTATTTAATTTAGTTTTTTATTTTCCTGACTTGTTTACTTATTTTATGGCCTTTCGGCACTACAAAATATTTCTTGAAAATGTTTTTCTTTTGCTTGATTTTTGCAATTTAGATATTAATTTGATTTTTATAGGAGCAATTTTTATTTTTTTTTTTATATTATTAGATATATATTTTTTTAATATATTTATATATATATATATATATATATATATATATATTTTTTTTTTTTTTTGATATTAATTGTTAAATTTTAAGTTTATTAATTTAAGAGATATTTATTTTTTATTATATTTTATTAGACATAATTTGTTTTAATTATAATAATTTTATAATATTTACTTTTATTTATTTATAATTTCAATTTTTGTTTTTATAATAATTTTCTTTCTTTATTTAACAATTTATTTTTCAAAATAATTTATTATATACTATGTTTATTTTTAACATTTCCCTTGAATTTTATAAGGCTGAATCTATAAATACAATTTTAAGGCATATGCAGTATAAATTTCGGAGCTTAAGAAATTCTGGCTTTGTTGCTCGACTTTTTCCTCAAGTGTATGTGCAACGCGTGTTGTTTTTTGTTATGTTATGCGCGGGCTCTTGATTGTTTTTGGAGCTGGAAATGGAATGGCAGTTACACACGCACAAACACAAACACACACAGACACGCACACACATACACACACATGCTTACTACATATGAGAACATTTCGCACACACACAAATCCCGGCCTCAGTGCCCTGACATTGCGACAGTGGGCAAAAAGGGTTTTATTTTACGAGCGGGACTATCAGTGTTATTGTTATGACTGAAATTTGATGGCCTCAACCGCTTCTGGCTGAAACTGAAGCGGGAGCCCAGAAGATGGAGATGGAGATGGCGATGGCGATGGCGATGGCGATGGGAGCTACCGAAGCTGTTGTTGAACTAACCATGTGACGAATGTGCGATGAGAGAGGGGGTGAGCCTAGAGATTTGTTGGGTGTTTTGAGAGGGTTTTTTTGAGAGGGGGGCGGGTCATGCACCCCTTGTCGCTGTTTATGACGCTGACGCAGTCAAACGATGATGATGCCTGACTCCCGCCCAGCTCGAGCCCAGTTACGGCCCAGTTAGTTATCTGTCATGGCCCGGCCGCTGATTAAGCAGCCTTTCAAGCTAGAGCAGATTGGATTTAACGAGGGTCTGGGACACCTGAGTGGCCTAACTCAAGCCATACATACATGAAGCCAGCCAATCTCTCTCGCGCTCTCCCTCTCTTTCTCTCTCTCTCTCTCTCTCTTTCACTCTCTGCGTCTGTTTTGGCACTTAAGTTTTATTCGCTTTGCTTTAAATGCTCACGTCGTATTCGGGCGGCAATGCTCCAAGCACCAATTTGAGCCTGGCAGCAAAATTTTTGGCTCCTTCGTGCGAGTCACTTGCGCGTTAATTTGATGATTATGATTTTCACACTGGCCCTGGAATCGTGCGCATCTTTTATATGCCCATATACACACACACACACACACACACACACATGCATAGATTTATGCCATTCGTTTGCTGCCAAAATAGGCTGCAGCTAAACTGTCGCAGTTTTGTGGCATGCGGCACCTTGGCTCGGCCACGCCCAGCTGTCAACAACGTGCTTTGCATGCCCAACTCGATTCGTTATAAAATATTGTTGGTT